CACTTGTATTTGTATGGAACACCATTAGTTGTATAAATATGCTTGTTGAAAACAGTTTAAACAGTTTGCAAAAAATCTTCACAAGAAATACTTGACTTGAATGAATAAAAAGTATTGACTTTATTTAAACATATTGTAGGTGTTTTTGTAAACAATCAAGGTGCGTGTGGAGTCTGTGTGAAACTGTAGAAGGCCAAGTTAGAGGCAGTCCTAAAGCCTGGGTTGGAGTTGATCGACTGTAAGGTACTGAACTCAGGACATACACAAGATGGTCTATTGCAGACAGGAAAAATCTGGATAGGTCATCATTCTGGATTCTTGAAATCTCCTCTATAGGAAATAATTGAGTTATAATAAAAAATAATAAATTGTAGTATTAATAGCAATATTATTTTTGGCCAGAACAACTTTCAAGTATATTTATAAAAATAAGTATGTATTATCTTTGTATATAAAATGCATCAACCATCAATTAATTAAATTATATTAAATAAAACTGCAAATATGATTCAATTCTATATAAAGTGTACATAAATGTTTCAAAAAGATGCTGGAACAGCTTTTCATAACAGTAGTTTAATGTGCTTCCTACAATTGGTACAAATTTGAGATAATTCAGATGCAAAACATCATTACAAAGTCTTACGTTTGTTGCTACATTCATGACTTGTAGTGTATATTTCTATTACACTATTTAAGTGTTTATTTAAATTTTTGTTACTATCAACTTCTGAAAACTAATCTCCAAATAGCAGAAATAACTAAATAACATTATTTTAACTTCGCTCATATTTTACTTATTGAGAAGCATCAATACCTATTCCTATTATTTTCCATTGCTTATTGTCACCTTATTGTAATCATATTTTTTAATTTTGTGTTTTTGAGGTTTTTAGCATTTTCATTTTTCTCTTCAATTGCTCACCATTTTTGCTTGTAGTTCCTTTTGAGTTCCTGAATTTGTAAAGCTTTCAATGAATCATTTTTCATTTGACCACTTTTGTCTCCTAGTTTGGAAGACAAACATCTATTTTATGAAAAACAGCCACAAGGACACTTGTTAGAGTGAACAATTTTTTAACCAGATCACCAAGTTTACAGAAGTTCTGCCAATATGCTTACTTTCACTATTGCCAATCAGTTTTGAAGACTTAGAAAACTGACTATCAAATAATATACAAATATTTGTTTAAAGACTTGTAATTGTTCTAAATGCGAACAAGTTGTATGAATGTATGATTCATTATCTATATTTTATCGATTCCTAAAGTATAATCTGGATTGTGTGTGGTGGTTGATTTTTGTTTTTCTAATATGAATTTAACCATATTATTAATCAAAGCATGATATTTATTATGCTTTGTAAAATTTCTGCATATAGATAATGGAATTAAATCAGTAGCATATTAATATATTGATTATATATTTGAACACAGTACACTATACAGGTTATAGACATTTTGAAACTGACTTATCATCAGTGTAAAATTAACTACACAACATAATAACACTTTTTATAAATCAACAGAAAATATAATATTATCCAAACAATTTCTAATTTTATACACAGATTGATAGATAATTTTATATGGGTATTAATGATGCATTTGAATACATACATAATGTTGAAAAAATTACATATACACATTTAAAAATAAATATTTAAAAAATTTCTAGTCTATTGTTTATTGAACTTTGTTTTAATTCTTATACATTTTTAGGTTTGCAAGAATCTAGAGTAAATAAAAATATTATAATAATTATTTAAACATTTAATTTTGCACAAATTATCCAAATACACAACTAATCAGTTTCCATATGTCTTTCATACAGAACAAATATACCTTTCATAAAATAAAATTGATTATGCGCCAGCAAGCGTAACATTCAAATAATCCAGAGAGTCCAAAACAAAATTAAAGACTTAAAAAATTCTACAGTTGCGGAAGTTATCAAAAACAGAAGTTTAATCTTTCAAAACAAATTGGATGCACACGTCAATCCGGAAATGCAAATAGTACAGACAGCCAAAAAATTAAAACGCTTGAAAAGAAAATGGCCCAGTAATCTGCCGGCAACAACATAACTTTCTCTGTTTTGTACAGGAAAATTTTCAAACAAGTTATTTTTAATTATTATTTATTATTGATTATTGTTTTATCAATAATACTACAATATTATTTATTCATTTATTTATTCTATTTCTTTTTTTTAATTCCTTTTATTCTATTTTTTTTTCTTCTTGATTTTGATTTTCAATACCATAAAACTTTTAACTTATAGATTGTATTGTAATCTGATTGTAGCAAAAATAAAAAAAAATAAAAAAAACACACAAATGAGAAGTGTGATGCTTCGAATCATTGATCGATTTAAATGGACTTATCAACATTATAAGTGCTGTGTAGCATTATCATTTAAACGTAAGATCTAAAATTAATCAATTATAGTTAAAAATTGTATTACAATTACCTCACCTTCTTTAAATATTTCATGTTTGTGCATTTATCAGAATCATCTTCACTGTATCTTCATCAGGATCCAATGAGTGTTTATTCACATTCAATATAACCTGATGCTTCTTATCACTAAAATCCTTCAGAAGCTCCCTGTTTTCTTGAAACATATCATTTAGTGTAAACATTTTAAAGAAACTGTAACACAAATGTTGTAATAAGTAAGGTTAAGATAATTTAACAATAAAACATGAAAATTTAGGAAAACTTTTTATGGAAGAAAGGTGTACCTTTCAATTTGATTGTATGTATCAATTGTTATATATGTTTGGTGCAATCTGTATAAAAATATTATTTAACTTAAACACAAACATGCAGCAATGTTTTATTTGACTTTTAATGGAGTTAGTGTGGCCAAGTGATGAAATAAACAATTTTACTAAAATTAAATATTTTAATATTTTGTTTAATGATGCATTCAGTTCCTGCACAAACAAAAAATTTATTAATTATGTTTACCTCATTATAATTTTCTTGTTTATCGAGAATCACTTTTAATGACTAACTAAATGGTTTATAATGGGTTTATATTTCTCACAACATTGATCATTCTTTTACTAAACTCAATTCTAGAAAAATGTACTTGTTATTTCAGAACTTATTATGTTCACTAATAAAATCATTATAAAATGATATTACATCAACTATAATTGATAAATCGATCAATTAATCATAGTTGTTCGATTATACACACAATACTTATGATACTTCTTGTTAGACACTTTTGTTAATATGAGTAATATCACACAATGTCAAAAATATCACAAAAATGTTTTATGACATTAAGATGTAGCCGCCATTTAAATTTTTAAAATGTCACGAACGAAGTGAAGGCGCGAATTTCAAACCCAAAACCTAAACATAACATAACAGATAACAGATCTCACTTATTTGTTCAGGGGGAATAGATTTATGAATGAATTATTATTATTGAGCCTTATATGGGCTACATATAAAACAATATTAAAGATATGAAGAAAATTTTATTTACAACTTAAAAATTTGTTATATATTTTACACAATGTTTATAACTATGCTAAACTTTCTTAATAAAATTTTATCTTATATTTTACTTTTAACATTTATTTATTAACCTGAAATATTTAATGGAATATCTAACATATATTATTTTATATACAAATATTTAATTTTAGATATTCTCAACAGTTTTGTAAATTTATATTAATCATTCATATAAAACTTTTATAAACATAGATGAAAAAAACTAATTTTTTACTATTCAAGAATTGAGAATTTCTCAGAAATAGTCAATGCGAACTACATGCAACAACTAAATTGTTTTTAAATTAACTTACTACAAACTGACATCAATTTGTTTTTCAATTATGATATAAATATTGAATTCATCAACTTGGCAATTTATGTTGTAGGAACGTTTCAGAAAGTCCTTTATGTGCAATTTGGTTTTCCTATTATTACTATTATGTAAGTAATTTAAATAAGTTTATAAAAATAGCCTTAAAAATATAAAATAGAAACCCTAATTATAATTCACAAAATTTAAATCACAGAAACGTACACAATTTTCACTCAATACAACTTTTGTGCAATGTAATATTTGATACACCAAAATTGACATTTAATTCAAACTTTCAATACAATGTAATTCCTATGTACTTGTTTTTATTTGTACTTGCTTTATACAATTCAGCATAAATTCATATATCAACAATTAAACTAATCACAATAACATCATACTAAGTATGTTCTAGGCAATATTTCTCCGCATAAACTTCCATTTCAATTAATTTGAATATTACCTATTATTTAATGCAAATATAATAAACCAAACATTGTCATTTCTCAATTCCTTTTGCATTTAATTGAATTTTCAAAACATTTTTTTTTTGATAATAATTTTGTTTTTGTTTGGTAAATAAATATAATTAAATTGTTTCATAAATATCCAAATGCTATGAAAAAACATTTTACTAATATCTTTGTATTTAATTTTGATTTTGGACCACATCAATATAATTTTATATTTTCCAAATATATACACTCATATAGTGATATTGATTCATTCTAGTCTTATGTTCAAATTAATTAATTTCTAGAACACTTTACCATTTTCTATAGTATAAGTAAAATTGGACTACAATGACAAGCATACATAAACAAATTTATTAAAAATATTTCAAAATTGATAATAAGATATCAATGTATATTGTTTTAAAATCTAATTTCCTATGTCTAGCATGGTTTATTAATTTTACCTCTAAAATTTCTAGTAGTAGTTCAAATTGAACTTATGTGATTCCATAACTAAAAATATATAAATTTATAAACTTCCATAAAAAAGTGACCGTAAGAATCTGAAACCTTGCTGGTGTTAAAACCTATTGAAAAATATAAAAATCATGTATTTTTGAAGATTTTAAAAGGCAATATACACATCTCATTAGTTAATTCAATTTTTCAAATTTTCACAATGAGGTAGACTAAATTTTGAAATGTGCTATTAGGAAATTTTTCGGCATGTTTAAGATTGTTAAGTATATTGTACTTTATATGAAAATGTATTGTGATATATTTCTTGCTTTAAAAGTTTGTACACTAACACTAATGATAATTGAATTTATGCTCCAGCACAATCAATTTCAACAATGTCTTTTGGAACATCAACAAACTGATAAACCAATCTTTGTCCATCAACCTTTGCCAGAATCCCCCTTTGATAATAATACCTTAGAGCCCTGCCCATGGTCTCATAATTCATGTCAGGTTTATTTTTATGCAAACCCCAAAGTCTTGAAACCGCCTTAGAATCTACAAGTTTAAAAACACCCTTTTCTCGATTTGTCCACTTAATATACCTCGGACAATATTCCCTATCTTGGAGTAATTTCAGTAGGAATTCCCAAAGGTATGTTGTGGAACCTTCGCGACTTTTTTCGCAGTTTCGCACACACTGGTGCTTGTTGCAGTTTGGATGAGTCATTTCTTGGTTTCTTAGCTTCTTCAATTTATTGCGGGCAGGAAAAACCAGATCTAACATATAAAAATCATCATTACTGCTGCTTGTTGCAGCCTGCTGTTGGGGATTAAGACGAGAAGATGGAGGGCACGGTTGTGCAAAGTGGTTCCCTGCACCACCATTCTGGTTTGTGGAGGGCGACGTAAGATGATGATAGCCATTCTGTGATTGGTGCTGTTGGTGATGCTGCGAAGCACTTGATTGTTGTTGTTGTTGTTGCTGCTGTTGCTGTTGCAGACCTGATGAACCTGCCGCCACATGTTGCTGTACTTGCTGCAGATATGATGTGTAAGTATCTGCTACTGCGAAAAAACAACATTAATGATTATGATATCAAGTAGAAGTAATATATTCATATATATTCATATATATATAAATAGATTATATATATATATATATATATATATATATATATATATATATATATATATATGAATGTTGCTATAAAGAAGTCATCATAACCAAACACCCTTTTCTCGATTTGTCCACTTAATATACCTCGGACAATATTCCCTATCTTGGAGTAATTTCAGTAGGAATTCCCAAAGGTATGTTGTGGAACCTTCGCGACTTTTGCGTTTCACACCGGTGCTTGTTGCAGTTTGGATGAGATCATTTCTTGGTTTCTTAAGCTTCTTCAATTTATTGCGGGCAGGAAAACCAAGATCTAACATATAAAAATCATCATTACTGCTGCTTGTTGCAGCCTGCTGTAGTACGGGATGATGATGCAAATGTTGCAAATGGTGATGGGGATTAAGACGAGAAGATGGAGGGCACGGTTGTGCAAAGTGGTTCCCTGCACCACCATTCTGGTTTGTGGAGGGCGACGTAAGATGATGATAGCCATTCTGTGATTGGTGCTGTTGGTGATGCTGCGAAGCACTTGATTGTTGTTGTTGTTGTTGCTGCTGTTGCTGTTGCAGACCTGATGAACCTGCCGCCACATGTTGCTGTACTTGCTGCAGATATGATGTGTAAGTATCTGCTACTGCGAAAAAACAACATTAATGATTATGATATCAAGTAGAAGTAATATATTCATATATATATATATAAATATATATATATATATATATATTATATATATGAATGTTGCTATAAAGAAGTCATCATAACCAACTTTTATATAAAGAATTTTAAATGAAAAACAAACTTCGTAGTCGATTATTAATTACGACATAATAAATGTTTGGTAAATATAGGGGGTGTCGTCATATATTTTTAACTTCCAGCAGGATAAGTTATAGTAATCACAAAAAAATCGAAAATTTTATATATCTTTACGTTTCAAAAGTTTCTGAATATTTTGGCATACCTTAGAAAAAATAGATGTATGTGTGTGTATATATATTTTTTTGTATAGCGAGGAAAACGCCTTTATGCATTCCAGACTGATGTTTTGTCTGGGTATGTCGAACTCAATACCGCCCTGGAATAATACCGACTAAAACCTTTGTGTGTGTATATATGTGTGCGGATACCAATTTTCGTCGACGATTTCGGGAACACCGATTTGAATAATTTAAAAAACATTCGATTCGTATTGATAGTGAGACGTGCTGATTAGTTTTTGGCGAAGGCAAGTGTAGCCGTTCCGAAGATACGGGGTAAAAGATACGGTAACTAAGTTTTTAAGAGAACGGAGCGTCCCATTTCAATCATTCAAAAAACATTTTATTTGTACATTGACAAGATAAAGAACTGATTAAATTTTTGGAAAGGCAGGCCCAGCGGTTATGGACTCTCAATAAAAATAAGTTAAAAAAATATCATTTGGCGGTCAAACATGTTTATTGGTATTAATATTATATAGAGATTTTAGATATGTATACACATTTTGTGTATTTGTTTTGGGTTCCGTATCAATATTTTTAATTACGGTACGGGAAGTTCTAGCAATTTGCCTTAAGGCATAATGCCATGCACGCCACTAGTTTCCTCTTTCTATTTATATAACGTATGAGACACTAAAACTATTATTTAATTACTGGAGTTTTTTGGTCTTGCCTTCGAATCAATAAATCTATATATTATACATATATATATATATTTATATATATATATATATTATATATATATATATAACAAATGTATTCTGAGTGGATAGATATTAATTTAGAAATATGAACCAACAACACTTTTTTACACTAATTTATTAAATAATAATTTTACAAACGTTTCGAAATCAGTGCAAAAAAGAGTGTTGTTTGTATATATATATATATTAGGGTGGTCCCTAAAATGGTCATTTTTGAATTTCCTTGCTCCCAGGGGCTCAAATGGTTTCAAATTGATAAAAAACAATTCTCTGAAAGTTTTAGCTCTTAATATTACGTTGAGATAGAGCGCAATCAATCAAAGTTGTATGGAAAGAGCATGGCAAATTTTTTGACTAACAATTTAAGGCAGATATGTCAATCTCTAGAAAATTTTAATGCAACGCAATTAATGACTAAATGATACTCATGTCACAAGTACCATACCTGATATAATTTGTAAACACTATACTTAGATTTAACTGTACGAATCTATCTTGTGTCTTGGAAAGAACATAATTCCATTGACTTATTATATATAAAAACTGAATACAAAGTAATTTTAAGTATCGCTTAAAATAAAGAGATATCTAACTTTTTTAATTCTAATTTTAATTATCAATAAACACTGAAACATATCTATAATTATAAAATAAAAAGCTGATGAGTACAAAGTTTTATGTCATCATCAGTAGTTATCACATAAAATTTATTTGGAGCCAATCGTAGCTACAAGTTGCTCTTGCAAAAATACTCTAATATATCTATAAGTTATTCGTGTTTCATAATTCTGCTTTATTCAATTATTCCACTTAAAACAAAAAAAATCTCTTCGTTAGAGACAAGTTACTATATAATGGTTGTGCAAAATTATGTGCTTCGTGCACATCTATTAATGCAGGAAACCATACCTGAATTTCACTGAAGATGACATAAAATTTTATGCCGGAACGTTTAATTTATAAATCTTTGCCTTTCAGTTAATGTATCTAGAGCAAGTCCGTGAGCTTAGTTAAACTCCATCTCGATTCAAGATTTCAAGAATTATGAGGGGAGATTTCCATTGCCATTTCACACCGCAGTGCCCGTAATCGGGTATTTTCATTTCAAAATAACCCATAGAAATTCAAGTGAAAACATATTTTTGATCTATATTCTTAAATAAAGATGAACATCGCTACTGTACAATGCCAGGTTGTCCGGAGAGATACGAGACCGTGAGCTTAACCAACTCCATGGAAAACTGATATACATACATACATATATATAATATATATATATATATTCATAATTTGATTGAAATTTCATTTTACATTTATAAATTATTTGCCTTTAGACTTAGTCTTAGATTAGGTCTAATATAATATCATATTAAAGGTGTATTCTACTGTAGAATTTTGAACAAAACGGAAAATTTTTTTTTCATATTTTCAAAGTTTAGTTATTCAAAAATATGTCATTAAAAGGATTTTTCAAAATTACTATTATTTCCTGAGTTATAGGTGTTTTAGTGACGTGGCCTCGTTTCGGGTCCGACTTGTCTCAAAACTTTGAACGCGTTTTTCTCGGAACTACTTTTTTCGAGCTGGCGGTAGTAAGGATATCTCGAGTTCTAATGAACCGATTTACTTCAAATTTGGAGAGGATCTTCTCTATACATCGCTTTATCGCGTGAACCTTGCCCAAAACTATAACTTTTCATTTAGTATTTTTAAAAAAATCGGAATTGTTAAAAAAACATGAAAAAAAAAATTATTTTTTTTCAAACTGCCGCCATTCAAACAAAAATGTTTTTTTAACTTATCCAAGGGTCATACGATAGCGGCATCTATAATAATTAAGAATCCATCTATTTTTTATGTTCCAAATCACCAGGAGGGTTGGAATCATGCACGCCAGGACACCCTCTTTTTTTTTGAGCCCCCACTTTGACTGCTCATAACTTTGTGAATTTGAATTTTTTTTTCTAATAATTTTTTTGTGTAATAATAAAATATCAATAAACAAATGATAAAATATCGATAGTAAAAATATTATTTGTATCCTTTATACAGCGATTCAAAAATGCGAAATTCATGCATCTACAGTAAAATACCCCTTTTAATTGTAAAACTGAGAAGTTCTCGTTGAAGTTCTTCTTAGGCATCGCTCTTAAATATTGTCATTTTAGCTCATAGGAATCTTTATGTATTTCTGATTGCTAAATAAAACTGAGTTAAAAAAAATATTACTTGCAATTTAATTCCTGCCTTACTCAATAAATATTGAAATGGCAATAATATGAAATATTTTCAGTGGTACTATTCAAAAACCCTTTGCGCGGCTTGCAGTTTGCAGTTCGGCCATAGTTCGGCCATTGTGTTTAGCCGCGAGTTCACAAGTATCATGGTTTCATGAAGTGAAGGCGAAGGGAAATGCACGGAGTTAGTTTCCGTGCCGGCCCGTCCCGTAATAGCTCAACGTTGCGCTATGGCCTTGAGGCCGCTAACCCCGATAATATACAACACACAGTCGGACGAAAACACTCTTCATTGCACATCCACACACTGCTGTTGCAAAACAAAACAAAATGGAAAAAATAAAAATGAGAAAAAGGAAAAAGCAACACACCAGCTCGATGCACACGACGACGAACCTCGCGAATACGACTGAGACTTCTACTCGTACAGTAGTTCTGGTAAACATTCTTCAAAATTCTTATAAAATGTTCATTGTTATATTTTTCTTAGCCTAGCTTGGATACCTATCTGATTGTAAGACATTTGTAAATTTGATCAAAATTTTAATCATAAACTTGAATATTTCCAAATAGTTTTATTTCTGGACTGTATGACAAGTTTCTATTTCTTGACAATATAAATATTCAATATTTGATATTGCTTAAATCGATAGCAATGCTTAGAACTATGAAATTTGAATTTTTTTTTCGATTTATTTTTCATAGCAAGCTATACAAAGTACATTCAGCAACATTTGTTACAGTTATATATTATTTGACTACGTGAGAAGGATCGCTATCCTGCGATAGCGCCTTCATAGATGTTATGTGATATTTTGTAGTAAATCATTGCAGATTCTTTTTTTGAGACGCTTTGGTGGTAAAGGCTTGAGCAGATCTAACGCTAATACGTTTGGATGACGACTTAGACGAGCTTTGTATCTGATGCAGTAAAGACCAATTTCTTCTTTTATAGTTCGAATTCTGAGATCTTGATGTATCAATTAATTGGGAACGTATTTTGGAGCGTTCACGATTTCTTTCAAAATTTTATTTTGGAACCTTTGTAGAATAGTTATGTTCGATTTACTGGCCGCACCCCATAGTTGTAGGCCGTAGGACCATATTGGTTTAATAATTGTCTTGTTTAATTTTCTTCTAACTGTTTAATAAAGTTGTTAGAAAAAATGTTCAAAAATGAGACCCAGTATATACTTCTAGTTTGCATTTTTTTCACCCATTTTTATAACAAACTTGCTATTAAATTACTGAAAAAATTGATATATGAAATGCCTTTAAAATAAGTTACTATAATTCACAAAAAATTATCAATAGTTGAAAACTATATAATATATGTAAATAAGAGTTGAATATTAATTGTAATGAAGGCATTAGAATACGACTTTATTTTCTCTTGTAGCGTCGCGTTGTCATTCGAGAATTTCTTATTCTCTTTTCAGCATCTTATATTTTCTAACTTTCTTTTAAAGATGCACATAAAACAGATACTCGGTCAAATAAAATGCACACAGTAATAAATTTTGATATGAACAGATTTAAGTACAGTGTTAAATTGTGAGTGTAGATAGAAAGCAGTTTTAAATACATATATGCATTTCATATTTTAATTATTAATCCTAATGGGTTTATTATCAATTTAAAATTTTATTAATAATTTTTTTTAAAATAAAAACCAATTCAATGATCTTGGCCCAGATTACAATCAATAACGCA